GGAAGATGAGAACTGGCGAAGTTGTAGTACAACTTTAGTACGCGGAGCATATGGGGAGCTGGAAGATGAGAACTGGTGACTTTGTAGTACAACTGTAGTACGTGGAGCAGTCTGTGGAGCTGGAACCTGAGAACTGGCGACTTTGTAGTTTAGTACGCGGAGTATCTGGAGAGCTGGAAAATGAGAACTGGCGACTTTGTCGTACAACTTTAGTACGCGGAGTATCTGGGGAACTGGAAGACGAGAACTGGCGACTTTGTAGTACAACTTTAGTACGCGGAGTATCTGGGGAGCTGGAAGCTGAGAACTGGTGACTTTGCAGTGCAACTTTAGTACGCGGATGAGTCATCTCTCGCGGCTGAGTCATCTCTCGCAGCTGCTCTGGCGCCCCTGCAGCTGAGTCATGTCTCCCGACCACCCGGCTCTCTTAAAAGGTTGACACACACACACACACAGAGACCCACGCACTGCCTCAACTTACTCGGAGTCACAGACAGAGACTCATACACACACAGACATAGATACACACACACACAGAGACCCACACACTGCCTCAACTCACTCGACTTAACACTTCACACTGAACACTTAACTCACACTCTGACTTCCTACGTGATGAAAAATGCTTTCGGGCCACTCGTCGTCTAGTTTAAGCAAAGTGAGAATCAAGCTGTTGAACGTCCAAAAAAAGGCATCTAGATCTAACTCACTAAAGCTATTGCGACTTTCTTCATACTGGCTTTGAGAAAGTGCACATCAAGTAAGTTCTGCAAAAGCCAAAAGCCATCTCCGCACAAGAAAGTGCAGAGACACCACTAGAGTAGAGTTTCGGTTGCTATCAAGAAACCGAGAATCCTTAGGTGGATGCACTTGGTGGCACGGCACGTCTTCATGTCTCGGCGTGTCTCGACACGTCTCGGCGTCCCGTTCGCCTTGCCTTGGCTTCCAACTCATCGCGCCGTCTTTTGCGCTCCGCTGTGGTTGAACGCTTCGGAAGCTTTCGAACCTCTTTGGTATCTTGAGGCCTTCACGATGCGGAGAGA